TTTAAACGGCGGTAAATAAAAACCGTCGTGGTGTTCATTTTATAACGTCGGTAATTTAAACGTGCGACGTTTATAAGAAAATAGAACACTCTGTTTTTCAAATTTAGAACAGAGTTAGTGAGACTTATGATTATTTTTGCCTTCTCTGCAACCTTTGGATCAGAGATGTTTCCTGTTTCATCTTCTCTTGCCTTCTTCCATAGAAGAGCTCGATCGATTTCTTCACCGGGCATAGTTTCTTCCAATTGGTCCACCAAACCAACATACCCTTTTCTAGACAACCTATGGTTGTACTCCAATTTCTCCCTCCTCTATTTTTGCTCAGAATGCACAGCCTCAAAATCTGGGGATAACCTTGAAGCTACAAAGGCATCCCATTGCGATTTCTCTATGAACTTATAAAGCTCAGGGGGTTCTTTTAACTTCTCCTTGTCATGTGTGAATGGAAGGATATACTGCCTAGTTACGTTATACTTGAAATCCTTCCATTTTTTGGCTGCAGACGACAGGACCATCTTCTTGCACCCATACCCAATAACATAGGACATTTGAACAGCTTCCCAAAGCTGCTCCTTCACGTCCTTGGGCAATTGAACCCATTTCTTGTCCACAAGAGGGACTCTGATGCGTGCCAAAACACCAATATAAGACTGCATCTCAATAGCAGCCTTGCCGGGTGGATTTTGGCTCCTCAACAAATGTGGTTGTACATGTGCTGGGGTCTTTATCGGAAGCAGAAGAAAATCTCATCCTCTTCGAGGATTTGCTTTGAACTGATTTGCCTTCAGCCTTTGAAATTTATTTGGCTTCATCCCCTTGAGCCTTTGAAACTGATTTGGCATCGGACACTTGAGCTTCCTTGTTTTGAGATTTCAAAACCATTTTTAATTAATCTGCAAGGAAAACAACGTTGGTTATTAAAAAAGAATGACGTAATAATAAAGAAACAACGTCCTAAAAAATACAGCCGTGATATTTAATTTAGAACGACGGTTATAAAACAACACCGTCGTCGTAAATAAAACACTGTCCTATTAAACAGTCTCTCAGACCAAGTATGGAAATAAGACGACGGTTTTATCTCGTTCATGACGTAAATGTTTATACACCACATCGGTTATTCTGCCTAATAACCGACGTGGTTTAAAATTTACAACGTCAAATACAAAACACAACCGTCGTCTTACTAAGATGGGATACAAGAAAAACGACTGTTCTTCTCCCACCAGATGACAGTTTTATCTTTTTTCCGACGTATTAATTTACACACCATGACGGTTATTAATCACCGTCGTGTAGTTTGCATTAGGTCAGATTTAACGACAGTCGTGGTGTGTCGGTTCTATCGTCGTAAACAAGATAGAACTGTCGTCTTTTGACGTCGTGAGAGTCATGGACTAATGAATTTAATCAAAAGCAGTGAAAGAGTTCCTCATTTTGACAGCATTTTGTTTTCAGACAACGACGGCTTTCAAATGAAATGTAAAAAAAGGGAAGAGATTGAGAAAAAAACCTTTGGCGTGCAAAAAAAGTTTCCTTCCGACGTAAGAAAATGGTGATTTGGAGATGAAGACGATGACGATGACGACGACGAGACTCAGACGATGATGCTGCTTTTGAGAAATGAGAGGGAAACTGAGATATTTTATCGGTGAGAGAGAACCGGAGAACATTAGGTCAGGCGACAAAAAGTTTATATATTTGTACAGAGTTCATTACGACGACGTTTTTATTAAAAACCGCCCTAGTATTTAGTTATAACGACGGTGTATAAGTCCTAACCGACGTGGTTATCACTAAAGCCAAACGACTTTTGGAATTCCGATGTGGTTATGATGGCGCTTGTTTATCTAAACTGACGTTGTCCTTCTAAATTCAACGACTATGTATTTTAAGAAACCGACGTGGTTACTTTGGGGTTCTGAAACGACGTTGTTCTCTGTTGAATACACGACAAAAGTTTGTAATGCACGATGTCGTTCTCTTTGCAGAAGTGAAAAGGACGACGTTGATTTGTTAAATATGACGTCGCTATGTGTAATAGAACCGACGTGGATATTTACGTTAATTTGTTTAAATATGATTTTTTCATGCGTTTTTAACTCTCAGTTTCCAACTTCTTCTTGCCCTTTGCTCTGTCTCATCAACTTCTAAAAAATTGTCTTTCTGAAAGCAAATATTTCACTCACAAGACCAAGCATGGGGAATTTCTTTGTATAAATTGTCTATGGTTTGCAGAATGATTCCTCACAAGACCAAGCATGGTGCAGCCGCACTTGCCCGTTTAAAGGCATACGAGGGTGTTCCACCTCCTTATGATAAGATAAAGAGGATGGTCATTCCTGATGCTCTCAAGTGAGCATTTCACACTTTGTTCATTTTGATTATCTGAAATTATTCCTGAAATCATCTGATCAGTAGAGATTTGCCTTTTAAATATTGATCTGTGGCTGTGCAGGAGCTTGAGAACAAGAGGAAGGAGAGGACCCAGCTTGCATATGAGAGGAAGAAACAGTTGAACAAACTGAGGGTGAAGGCAGAAAAGAAACCGTGAAGAGATTTGCCTTTTAAGACGAAAATGTTGTTGAGGATTGAGAATTAAATTTTGTTTTGTGTTAAAAAAGATATTACCAAAATAAATAAAAAATTAATTAATTTTAAAAAGCAATAAAAATAAGACGGCGGTTTATAGAGAAGGCAGACGTATAAATAAAAAAAATACGACGGTAATTTGAACTTAGGACGTGGTAAATAAATACGACAGTAGTGTTGTAGGTACCGTCGTAGTACACTCCAAAATAATAAGTCGACAAACTAATCTCTCGCGTCATGTAACATTGTTTAACACATCATTTTTTAAATATACCGACCTGGATTTCATTATATTATACGACGTGGATTCCATTAAAGAATAACAGACGTTGTTTTGTACAATTAGACGGCGGTATGTGTATAAGGACCGCCGTGCTATCACGACGCTTGTTTATCTAAACCGACATTGTATTTCAAAAGTTTACTTTGGTAGAAGTGGTATTACATGTTACCATGTCGTAATGTTATACATAACCGACGTGGTTGACTTTAAAAGTCGTTGGCCTTAGTTTAAGGAAATGATGTGGTTATGTTAATTTATATGTCTACAATTATTACGAAACGACGATTATTATTTCAGTTTGACGTCGCTATCTGTGATAGAATCGACGTGGATATTCAAGAAAATTTGTATACATATGATTTTTCCACGCCTTTTTTATCTCTCAGTTTTCAATTAGGGTTCCAACTTCTTCTTGCCCTTAGCTTTCTGAAATCAAATATGGACACTTTAGCTTCTTATCCATTCGAAATCTAAAGAGTCACTTTAGCTTCTTATTTATTTCAGATTTCAAATGGTAAGAAGCCAAAGTATCCACTAGAAACCATTTCAAAGGCTCATCAACTTCTGAAAGCAATTGTTTTTAGTTGTGTTTTCTGCTTTATTTCACTCAATTGTCTTTGGTTTGCAAAATTATTCCTCACAAGACCAAGCATGGTGCAGCTGCACTTGCCCGTTTTGTTATTTTTGTTTTCGAGAACACAAGAGGAAGGAGAGGGCCCAGCTTGCATATGAGAGGAAGAAACAGTTGAACACAACCACGATGGATTTGCCTATTAAATATTGATCAGTAGAGATTTGCCTTTTAAGACGAAAATGTTATTGAGGATTGACTTGAGAATTAAATGTTGTTGAGGATTGACTTGAGAATTAAATTAAAGGTTGTTCCTTGTGATGGTTTTAAGTATTTTGGCAGTAATTCTTCATGATAGATATTAAGAAAGATATTACCAAAATAAAAAAAAATTATTTAATTTTAAAAAGCAATAAAAATAAGACGGCAGTTTACAGAGAAGGAAGACATATAAATAGAAAAAATACGACGGTAATTTGAACTTAGGACGTGGTAAACAAATACGACAGTAGTGTTGTAGGTACCGTCGTAGTACACTCCAAAATAAAAAGTCGATAAATTAATCTCTCGCGTCATGTACATTGATTTAACACGTCGTTTTTTTGTAACATACCGACGTGGATTTTATTATACTATACGACGTGGATTCCATTAAAGAATAACCGACGTGGTTTTGTAAAATTAGATGGCAGTATGTGTATAAGGATCGCCATGGGTTTTAAAGATTTATTGTATAAATTTGACGCTTTCTTTCAGTTTCAGTTTTCATTTACAAGTTCTTCTGACCTCTCTGGAGGCTCGTCTTCCTCTCTCACATACACACCTACATCATCACTCTCTCTCACATCTCAAAGACAATAATTTGGATGTTAATGATGTATGCATTTTGGTGTATCTCAAAGACACAAAAACGCACACATCATTAACTTTCAAAACATTGTCTTTCTCAAAGTTTGTCGTGGTCAGTTCAGTTCTGGTTTCTTTTTGGATTTTGTGTATTTAAAATATTGTCTTTCTCACTTTGGTGGTTCGATTATGATCAGGATTCAAAGATCTCAATGGTAAGATATCATACCTCTTAGGATCTCATTTTAATTTTCGTAGGCTACCAAAATTAAAAAATAATTAAATCTTAAAAAGAAATAAAAATTACGACGGCGGTTTACAGAGAAGGCACCGTCGTAGTATACCGACGTGGATTCCATTATATTATACGACGCGGACAAAGAACAGTTGGTCGTGTTGAGTTAGGAGTTAACACGGCAGGTTTTTTGGTGAATTGTCGTCTTTATTTTCTACGTCGGTGGATTCATACCTGCTTTCGTTGTTTTTTGGTCAGATTTTAACTCTGAAGAAAACCCTTTTAATAAGACGACGTTTTTTTATTTGTGTGCGTCGTTTTTAAAAAATATTCAACAGTACCTTCATTTTTTAGTTGTTTAAGGCACTTATCTACGACGGTTTTCTGTTACCGTCATCTTTTTAAACACAACGATGGTTTTATGTTCTGCCATTGTCTTTTTCTGGTCGTCTTTTTCACTTTTTGTAGTAGTGAAACCTTGAAATTTTTATAAACAAGCATGGGACTCTTTCTGGAGATACCCTTAATTATCTCTCCAACAAGTTGAGAGTGATTGAGTGGAACAACTGTCAATTGCAATATTTGCCATCATATTTTCATCCAAAGGAACTTGTTGTATTCGATATGCGTTGGAGTCGCATCAGACAATTGGGGAAGGGGTTTAAGGTATTTTTAAGTTATATTCATCTATTATTATTTCCAAGAGTTTTGGTAAAGAAAAAACTTTTGTATATTAATTGTCTTTTGGAAGCTTATCATTTGATCTGTTGTTTTTTGGTCTCACAGAATTTGGCAAAGCTGACATCTCTAAATTTAAGAGACTCTGGATTCCTAGAAAAAATCCCTGACTTTTCCGGAATGGAAAACCTAAAGTACTTGAAGGTAACTGATTGTACAAGTTTAATTGAAGTTTATCCTTCTGTTGGATTTCTCGATAAGCTTGTTACATTGGATTTTTCACAATGATCCAACCTTACGAATTTAAGGATTTGTTTGAAATCTCTAGAGAAGATGATTCTTAGCGGTTGCAAAAGGCTTAAAAATTTCCCAGAAATTGTGGACAACATGGATTCCCTACGGTTATTGAATATCGAAGAAAGTGGCATAAGAGAATTACCTTCTTCAATTGCATATCTGAGTGGCCTCGAAGATTTAATCGCACATGATTGTGAGAACCTTACAACTATATCATCCTGTATTTATTATCTTAAAGATCTCCTTCTTTTTAATTGCAAATCACTGGAAAATATTTCTACACTATCAAGTATATTGGAACATGATCAGTTACCGAAGCTTCAGTATCTAGACTTGACTAATTCCCATAGACTATGCGCGCACAGCAGTGATTTTTACCCGGCAAAAATGGAAAACTTTTGCAAAATCAGGTTCCTCTCTCTCCCTCTCTCAATATCTGTTAATAGTGGTTAAGTTTGATGCTTAATCCTAACAAATCTGGATTCTTAACTACTAATAATGTTGCAGGAATCGTACGCGCTTCCCTTTCATATTTATAGTTCCTGGCAATGAAATTCTGAAGTGGTTCAATTCTATTTTAGAGATCCCCTCTCCCTGCTTTATTAAAATTCCTCGGAATTTAGTGTTGGAGAAGACAGGATTGGCCCTGTGTGCTGTTTTTGAGCTTACGGGGGGAAACTCGCTCAAAAACTTTTTTGGGATTTTCGATCCGCACCGTGATGTGGAGATTAGCATCAATGGAATACTTGTTCAAAGACTTTCCGATATTTCTTCTAGGACGGACAACGAGTCCACTAGTCATTTGTGGTTCCATTACAGTCCGTGGGATATAGCCTGGGGACAGCTGGATGGAGGGATCTGTCAAGTGACATTCACAATTGCTTTGTCCGATAAGTTAAAAATCCTAAGTTGTGGGGTCCACCTAGTATACGATCAGGATGGTGGGCACCTTCTACAGTGCACCAGGTGCACCCATGCACCATTTGTCCTTTATGATGCTCCCAGATTTTTAAAAAAATTGGTTACCGGTTATACAAGTTATCAAGTTTCCACTTTTTGAAAATACAATTGCATAAGGGTCATGCAATTATGCCCTTCCTGTTTGGCAATTGGCATATGATTGGATAGTGATTTACAGTAGTTTGGATATGAGAGTACCATAACATTGTAAGAGGATCCTAAAACTTATAAGTTACAAGATTTGGGTAGCTGTTTACAAGTTTTTGAACTATGATTACAACATTAGGGTTCACCTAATCCATAGTATTGTAAACATCCGAGTTTACAAGTATAAGGACCCAATTTACCATCCGAATGTTCACATTTACCCTAATATTGTACTACATGTCTTTATCTTTGTAAATTTCGATATTACAAGATTAAGGATGCATTTTACAATCAAATGGAACATAACTGTCCAAAACCGAGTAAAACAAGACTTTAATATAGTAAAAGTTTGTGTTTACACGTATAAGGACTCAATTTACTTTCCTAATGTCCCTAGTTACCTTAATATTGTACTAAACGTCCTTCTCTTTGTAAATTACGATATTACAAGATTAAGGATGGGTTTTACAATGTTCTGGAACATAAGTATCCATAAAAGAGTAATACAAGACCTTAGTATTGTAAACATCCAAGTTTACAAGTATAAGGACCCAATTTACCATCCGAATGTTCCCATTTACCCTAATATTGTACTACATGTCTTTATCTTTGTAAATTACGATATTACAAGATTAAGGATGCATTATACAATCACATGGAACATAACTGTCCAAAACCGAGTAAAACAAGACCTTAATATCGTAAACGTTTGTGTTTACACGCATAAGGACTCAATTTACTTTCCTAATGTCCATAGTTACCTTAATATTGTACTAGACGTCCTTCTCTTTGTAAATTACGATATTACAAGATTAAGGATGCATTATACAATCACATGGAACATAACTGTCCAAAACCGAGTAAAACAAGACCTTAATATCGTAAACGTTTGTGTTTACACGCATAAGGACTCAATTTACTTTCCTAATGTCCATAGTTACCTTAATATTGTACTAGACGTCCTTCTCTTTGTAAATTACGATATTACAAGATTAAGGATGCATTATACAATCACATGGAACATAACTGTCCAAAACCGAGTAAAACAAGACCTTAATATCGTAAACGTTTGTGTTTACACGCATAAGGACTCAATTTACTTTCCTAATGTCCATAGTTACCTTAATATTGTACTAGACGTCCTTCTCTTTGTAAATTACGATATTACAAGATTAAGGATGCATTATACAATCACATGGAACATAACTGTCCAAAACCGAGTAAAACAAGACCTTAATATCGTAAACGTTTGTGTTTACACGCATAAGGACTCAATTTACTTTCCTAATGTCCATAGTTACCTTAATATTGTACTAGACGTCCTTCTCTTTGTAAATTACGATATTACAAGATTAAGGATGCATTATACAATCACATGGAACATAACTGTCCAAAACCGAGTAAAACAAGACCTTAATATCGTAAACGTTTGTGTTTACACGCATAAGGACTCAATTTACTTTCCTAATGTCCATAGTTACCTTAATATTGTACTAGACGTCCTTCTCTTTGTAAATTACGATATTACAAGATTAAGGATGCATTATACAATCACATGGAACATAACTGTCCAAAACCGAGTAAAACAAGACCTTAATATCGTAAACGTTTGTGTTTACACGCATAAGGACTCAATTTACTTTCCTAATGTCCATAGTTACCTTAATATTGTACTAGACGTCCTTCTCTTTGTAAATTACGATATTACAAGATTAAGGATGCATTATACAATCACATGGAACATAACTGTCCAAAACCGAGTAAAACAAGACCTTAATATCGTAAACGTTTGTGTTTACACGCATAAGGACTCAATTTACTTTCCTAATGTCCATAGTTACCTTAATATTGTACTAGACGTCCTTCTCTTTGTAAATTACGATATTACAAGATTAAGGATGCATTATACAATCACATGGAACATAACTGTCCAAAACCGAGTAAAACAAGACCTTAATATCGTAAACGTTTGTGTTTACACGCATAAGGACTCAATTTACTTTCCTAATGTCCATAGTTACCTTAATATTGTACTAGACGTCCTTCTCTTTGTAAATTACGATATTACAAGATTAAGGATGCATTATACAATCACATGGAACATAACTGTCCAAAACCGAGTAAAACAAGACCTTAATATCGTAAACGTTTGTGTTTACACGCATAAGGACTCAATTTACTTTCCTAATGTCCATAGTTACCTTAATATTGTACTAGACGTCCTTCTCTTTGTAAATTACGATATTACAAGATTAAGGATGCATTATACAATCACATGGAACATAACTGTCCAAAACCGAGTAAAACAAGACCTTAATATCGTAAACGTTTGTGTTTACACGCATAAGGACTCAATTTACTTTCCTAATGTCCATAGTTACCTTAATATTGTACTAGACGTCCTTCTCTTTGTAAATTACGATATTACAAGATTAAGGATGCATTATACAATCACATGGAACATAACTGTCCAAAACCGAGTAAAACAAGACCTTAATATCGTAAACGTTTGTGTTTACACGCATAAGGACTCAATTTACTTTCCTAATGTCCATAGTTACCTTAATATTGTACTAGACGTCCTTCTCTTTGTAAATTACGATATTACAAGATTAAGGATGCATTATACAATCACATGGAACATAACTGTCCAAAACCGAGTAAAACAAGACCTTAATATCGTAAACGTTTGTGTTTACACGCATAAGGACTCAATTTACTTTCCTAATGTCCATAGTTACCTTAATATTGTACTAGACGTCCTTCTCTTTGTAAATTACGATATTACAAGATTAAGGATGCATTATACAATCACATGGAACATAACTGTCCAAAACCGAGTAAAACAAGACCTTAATATCGTAAACGTTTGTGTTTACACGCATAAGGACTCAATTTACTTTCCTAATGTCCATAGTTACCTTAATATTGTACTAGACGTCCTTCTCTTTGTAAATTACGATATTACAAGATTAAGGATGCATTTTACAATCTTGTGGAACATGACTGTCCTAAACAGAGTAATACGATACCTTAATAATGTAAACATTTATGTTTACACGTATAAGGACACAATTTACTTTCCTCATGTCCCTAGTTACCTTAATATTGTACTAGATGTCTTTATCCTTGTAAATTACGATATTACAAGATTAAGGATGAGTTTTACAATGTTCTGGAACATAACTATCCATAAAAGAGTAATACAAGACCTTAGTATTGTAAACATCCGAGTTTACAAGTATAAAGACCCAATTTACCATCCGAATGTTCCCATTTACCCTAATATTGTACTACATGTCTTTATCTTTGTAAATTACGATATTACAAGATTAAGGATGCATTTTACAATCAAATGGAACATAACTGTCCAAAACCGAGTAAAACAAGACCTTAATATAGTAAACGTTTGTGTTTACACGTATAAGGACTCAATTTACTTTCCTAATGTCCCTAGTTACCTTAATATTGTACTAGATGTCTTTATCCTTGTAAATTACGATATTACAAGATTAAGGATGCATTTTACAATCAAATGGAACATAACTGTCCAAAA